GTCCGGTTTTATCAGGAATGGTGTGCTATGACTTTTATAAGGGGTGGGGGGTTTCTTGGCCCCGCAGGAGACTTAACATTGAGCCGACCTTAGACGAATCACAGTGCCGAGTGTGAATTTCATAGAAATATGAGATTAACAACATCTGTAGGGGGTTGCAGCCTAAGTGAGAACATACCTCGCAAGGGGGTATAAGTTGCACCCCTGGGGCTCTAGGACGTCCCAAAGTGCTCCCATTGACTAACATTGGCCCCATTGACTCCCATTCATTTTTCTATGAGAGCACTAAACGCGCCGCGAAATGGGCCAACCTTTGAGGCGTTATAGCGCCAAGTGTGAAATTCGTAGAAATATGGGATTCGCAACATCTCTAGGGGGTTGCAGCCTATATGAGATCATACCTTGAAAGGGGGTACAAGTTGTACCCCTGGGGTGCTAGGACGTCCCAAGCGGGTCCCCATTGACTTTACATTGCCCATTGACTCCCATTCATTTCTTGACTTACATGTCAATCACATTACATAGCAGTGTCATACAGACTTGGGGGTTGGCTTAATTTACTCAGGCAACCAATCAGCATCTCATTATGATTTTGAAGCTCACAAACCACGCCCCCCCCCCCCCCCCCCCCCCCCAACCACTTAAACCACTTAAAGACCCTAAATAAGTGCCCCATTGACTTGGGGTGGGACGTCCCATTGCACATCCCATTGACTTCCATAATAAATGTCACACATCTATAACTATATAATTATAACTAATTACATAGGAGTATCATAGAGACATGGGGGTGGGCTCATTTGACTCAGGCAACCAATCAGCATCACTTTAGGATAATGAAGCTCACAAGCCACGCCCCCAAATTGGTCCCATAGACTTCTATTATAATAGGGCTAGATGCATATCTTTGCATAGCAGTGTCATGCAGACTTGGGGGTTGGCTCATTGGACTCAGACAACCAATCAACTTTTCAATATGATAATGAAGCTCTTAAGTCACGCCCCCAAATCCATTTAAATACCGTTAATAAGTGTTCCATACACTGCCATTTTAACTGGTCTACATGCATGTCTTTGCATAGCAGTGTCCTATAGACTTAGGGGTTGGCTCATTGGACTCAGACAACCAATGAGCATCTCAATATGATAATGAAGCTCACAAGCCACGCCCCCAAACTGGTCCCATAGACTGCCATTATAACTGGCCTACATGCATATCTTTGCTTAGCAGTGTTCTATTGACTTGGGGGATGGCTCATCTGACTCAGACAACCAATGAGCATCGCAATTTGATAATGAAGCTCACAAGCCATGCCCCCAAATTAATTCCATATACTTCCATTAAAATAGGCCTTGATGCATATCTTTGCATAGCAGTGTCATAGAGACATGGGGGTTGGTTCATTTGACTAAGACAGCCAACCACATTCAAGTTCACTCTGTAACCTTGCCCAAAGCAACAAAACAGAGTACCCTAGCAACCATTTATCAACAGCTATATCTCAGCATCAGAACATCGTAGAGACTTGGGGATTGGCTCGTTTGACTCATGCTAGCAAACGGAACTTTCTATATGCTACACATGCTAGCAGTGACTAGCTACATGCTAACATTGACTAGCCAAGTACTGTAACTTGCTAGAAATGCTTACTAAGTATAAATATTTGATCAAGCATGTGTGTGAGGCTTGCCTAGTAACCACCCAGGGTACCCTAGCAACTGCATAGCAACCACCAAAATTACCCTAGCAACTGCCTAGCAACCACCTAGCAACCGCCTAGTAACGCCTTAATAAGGGTCTAGCGACCACTTAGGACACCCTAGCAACCGCCTAGCAACGCCTTAGCAACCACTTGGAATACCCTAGCAACCACCTAGCAACACCTTAGCAACTTAGTGCACCCTAGCACTGTTGCTAGCATGATGCTAGCAACTCAATTAGCATGATGCTAACAAGATTAGCATCATGCTTGCTACATGCTAATCATGTTAGGATCATGCTAGCAACACAATTAGCATGTTGCTTGCATGATGCTAACATGCTAACATGTTGCTAACATGATGCTAACACTGTTGCCAGCCACTCACTGTAATGGTTCAGTAACAGTAATTAAATGGCAACACTGTGTCCAGTTACTTACTGTAACCAAACTTTTACAGTGAGTAACTGGCAACAGTGTTGCCAGTATTCTACTGTAAAAACGCCCGGTAAGGTCTAACAGTGTAGGAGACCAGATTGGTCCCACTTTTTATCAAATGATCCCAATTATTACAGTTTTATTATAATATATATGTGTGTGTGTTCGTATAGTACAGCACAACACTTTTGGTTCAGAAAATTTAGATCAGAATTACAGATGTATTTACAAGCAGATCATTTTTAAAGTGGTACAATGTAAAAATATATACAGTGCTCAACATAATTGAGTGTACTCCATTTTGAAAATTTATATTTTTATCAATTTCCCAGTGAATATTGCTAATATATGTTGGTCCATTTAATCAAAACAGATTTATTAAACAGATATATTTATTAAAATAATATTTTAGTCACTGAACATCTTTGGAAATAAAACGATAATGCATTTAAATTTCAACAAGATTTTATATATTTTTGTTGTTCCTCTTGAATTTTGCTCTTTTAAAAACATTTTATTTAATAATTTTTCCTAACATATAAATTTAGGTGTGCTAATTTTGGACTGCTATTAATAATTCATTTTGTTAGATAAGCTCTAGATTTGACTTCAGTACTGACTAATCTAATGTTTATACACAAATATAATATTGAAAAGCTTCCTATAGAAAATACTAATTTAAATAAGAGATTTGTAAATAGGATGTACTCATTGCATTGTTTTCAATTATTAATTTAAATGTAATTACAAAGTAACTATGTTGGTTAACATTCATTCATTCATTCATTTTCTTGTCGGCTTAGTCCCTTTATTAATCCGGGGTCGCCACCGCGGAATGAACCGCCAACTTATCCAGCACATTTTTATCTCTCATCTCTGGGAAACATCCACACACACATTCATACACACACTTATACACTACGGACAATTTAGCTTACCCAATTCACCTGTACCAAAAAACATTCTAAACCATGTCTGTTAATTTCAGCAATAACAATTAAGAAATAATGCTTTTTAAAATAAATAACACCTAAGGGAAATGAGCTACTATAAACAAACAGTGAACAGCTGTAAAAAGTAATGTTATCAAATATTAGTACTTACTGCAAAATACATTTCTAATGATTATTAACCCATTGCCTACTATTAACTATTGAACCTTACTATAAAATGTACTACTACCATTATTATTATTAATAATACTATTATTAACATTATTATTATTGTTGTTGTTATTGTTTGTATAATATTCATAAAATCATAATTCATATTCATAAACAAACAAAAAAATAAACAAAACTAAAAATAAATTATTACAAAATTGTTTCAAAAAAGCAAACACTGTAATGGTACTGAAGCTTATATAATGTGGAAATATTTATTTTAAATTGTATTTGCATATTATTGTATTTAGTCTATATTTGCACTCAAAAATATATATTCACTGTTTGTTCAAACAACTTGTTCAAAATGAGCTGAATGTTCAATCCATTTAAATTTGTAAAAACTAATAAGTTAACTCAATTCCTTCATGTTTTCTTGAGAAAAATCTATTGTGTGGAACCCAGCATTTTTTAAAGTGTGTGCTGAACTGCTAACACCAAAACCATACATATGTTCCATTAAGCGGTCAGATGATGGTTAAAGACAAACTGCATCTTTCACCTCTGTCCGACTGAAGGTTTAACCAGAATCCAAGAGTCAAGACCTTTATACACTTATGACTGTCAGTTCTCATAGTTTTCTGAAGTGCAAACGAAAACAGCAGCACTGCAAAATAAACATGTCATTGATGTAAATTCTAATTGTTATTATGGATTATTGATGTTATTTTAACACAATTACTGTCTTTTTTGTGTAAGTTCATTTATCAGCTGGATCTGAATATTAATATTGCTTTTATTGTTGTTCTTTCAGTTCACTGAGGTGGAGAATATGCAAATGTTTGAAAACATTGAACTGATGTCAAAATTGTCTTCTTTTATGGAACAATTTCATTAAATGCAATGTATACATAGTTTTTGATGTTTTTACATTAGAAGACAAAAAAAAAGAAGACAATTTTATTGGAATTTCAGTTTTCATCTGATGTTCTACTGGCATGTCAAACTGGACTCCTGAAGGGCCGCAGCTCTGCACAGTTTTGCTCCAACCCAAATCTAACTAATCAAGTTGTTTAAGGCCACTAGAGACTATTAAGCAGGTGTGAGTTGGAGGTGATTGGAGCTAAACTGTGCAGAGCTGCGGCCTTCCAGGAATTAAGTTTAAGACCATTGTTGTACTGGCGATCTATATTAGTTTTTAATTTGCTTCAGACAGAATTTTTACTTGTTTGTATTTACCAATAATTTAACATGAAAAGTTTTTTCTTTCTTCCAAAAATGTCCTGTGTCGTTAAACTCAACTTAACTAGTGCTAAAGTGCCAAAACATGACTTTAAGTTTGAGTTGGTCACTTGGTCACTTCCTAACTGACAATTAACTGGATGTGTCATCATTATTTATGTACAAGCTTAAACCAATTACAGTATTTTTACAATATATTTACATAGTTCTTACGGTTTAAAACTCAAATGGAAACAGAAGCATTACATAAAATGTAAATATATATAAAAATGAAGATCTGATCTTGTTTTCCTGTGCATTGTTTCTTCGTAAACTCGTGGTAAATCATCATGTTTGAATTTAATTCCAACAATAAAAAAATTGGACAGTTTACCCTAACTAAACAGACTAACTGAGTCCTTCAGGCTCGTTTGAAACAACGTCTATTAATGTTTACACCACCAGAGGCCATCAGAGATCACATTTACAGAGGCAACTTTAAGTAGTGTATTCACTGGGAAATCTAGGACAACAGCTGTTTTAAAGTAGTTCAATACTCGTTTTATTTAGTAAACAGAGGTTAAACAAGGACAATGAATTATTATGAGATATCACTTTACAACATTTATATCTCACACATGTAAATATAAAAGTATTTCTGCACACATTCCGGCTGTTTGTGTTTGACTGTATATAGATGAACCCAAAATCAAGAATGCAGATTTTCCAGTGACGCAGAAACTGAAAGAGAAAAACAAAAGAGTCAAACATGCAAACATTTTCATCTGTTTGCCATTCAAATCTCATTGACATTTGTGTACAGACATGGGTTTGGTTGTTTGATCATTTATCCTTGTTTGAATTCAATCAAGCTCTTTGATACAGATCATATAGTTTTTATCTTTTCTATTATTTTTCATTATTATCTTAACATTTAGCTTTATATTATTCATCCAACAAATACCCGACAAGGCAGAGCTTTTATTGTTTTATTATGTTTCTATATTACATCATATTATGGAGAAACACAATACAACAATGATTTTTTTTAAGTTCTCTTAGTGATCAGACTGGTTCATAAACACACAGATGCGTCTCATTGAGTTTGCTGAATAATGTCACCTGATGCCATTATTTGAGGTTTTATGTTTACTAATGAGTGGTGTTATTATGGTGACACACGTCTCCAGGATGAAGGAAATGCAAACGCCAAAATAGAAATAGCTCCAGCATTTGTCTAACAAATTCTGCTGCTGATATCCAGCCCAAGAGAAGCTTATTACTAAGTGCCGTGTAGTGCAGGGGTGCCCAAAAGGCCGGTGTCCTGCAAAGTTTAGTTCCAACCCAATCGGACACACCTGTGCTAGCAAGTCAAGGCCCATGCAGGTGTGTTAAGGCAAGTTGGAGCTAAAATCTGCCCTCTATGCAGGACAGAGTTTGGGCACCCATGCTCCAGTGTATTCATTGAAATAACTAATTTAAATTATGTTACAAGTGAAAAAAATGTATGATGTACAATAAAAATATGGACACATGAAATAATTTATTATGGAAATACAATTATTACCAAATATGAATTGATTTTTGATACTAAGAATCCCGGAAATATAGTAAACAATAATAATCTTGAAACCAGAGACCATCAACATTGGGTGTATTTATACAGTCTATATACGTTTATTTTATTTACACAAAACTTCCCACATATTCCACTTAATTTCTATGATCCATGCAAAAAGACATTTGGGTCTCTTGTACGAAGACTTGCGTTGAATTCATACTAAAACATTGCGTATGCTCAAAGCTGTAAATGTGCGAACACAGTAAAAAATTCAGATGTATAAAACACTTCGTACGCCAAATAACACACATATTCTCTTTATACTTGCGAATTAACATAAAACTGAGTGCAACATCCACGAGCGCAAAACCCCTCCCTGCCTCCTATCCCGTACAAATATGCCAATGACTCTACTTTGGCAGAACCAATTGAAAAAGCAATGGCAAAAGTAAGCAAGAATAGAAACTTTGAACAGAATGTGAATTGGAGGCAGGCTCGGATTGGCCGTTGGGCCAGACTGTTTTTTTGGCCGCGAGGGCTGGTGTCCCTAGCTGCTTGCACTCTCAGCAGTCGCACTTTTTTCATTTATTTATTTATTTGACCATAGCCTCACTCTTTTTATTCATTATTTTGCCGCAACTCCGCTCTTCTTATTTATTTTCTAGCAGCCCCGTGAGCAAAATGCAGCCTGCAGGATAATGATGATGTAACTATCATTCAACCCCAAACAACGGCACCTTAGTGAATATAAAAATTCAAATAATTAATATGAACCGTCTACTGCACGGCATAACCATATGAAAACATGATACTCATGTTCATTTCCCAGCCACTGTTTCTTTAAGACCAACATATTTTTTTTTGTTGTTGTTGGAAAGAGAAGACCTTAGAGTAGCCAATGATGTGCTTTGGTTAAGTCACATGACATCCAGTGTTTTTCTGTAGTGGGATTTCTGACAGACTAACAGGCGTTTATTGTGAATAGTTGCTAAATGCAAATGTAAAAGTCAATAAAAACAAAGGATCAAATTATGTCAGATCCACAAAAAAATCTAAAACATCACCTCCAGTAAGTTATGATGACATATTTACAAATCAAATTAGTTTTTTTTTTTTTTGTAAATAGATCAAATGTATGTGTTACCAAATGGCAACACGTACTGTGCAATGGTGAAACATGCAATATTGCAATGGGTTAGCTAGCTAGCAAGGTCAGCTGTGAACTTTTAGGTTGTAACAGTAACAACATATTAACACAGATAAGCGTAGTATATATATATTATACTATATACTATACTACACTTATCTGTGTTAATATGTTGTTACTGTTACAACCTAAAAGTTCACAGCTGACCTTGCTAGCTAGCTAACCCATATATATATATATATATATATATATATATATATATATATATATATATATATCTAAACATTGTTAGCTAGATTGTTATTATTCTGATGCATCTGGATATACTAGACTTGTTATTTATTTGTTATAATATTATCTGGAGAAAATATTTATATTTACTGTTGTATATATGATCTTACAATATTATGATTGTTTTCAATAATATTCAGCAAAAAGAATGGAACAAATGAAAGCTGTTGGACTATGAGTTGTGGTAAAGTATGTATAAGGTGTCATTTATAAGTTTTGTGTTAAAGGGCCATGAAACCCCCTCGTTTCAGCAGGGTGTTTTTACACCTCTACTTTGGAAAAGTGGGTGTGTCCAGCTCTGTTTAGGGGGGAGTGTCAGAGGAACTAAAGTGGGAGGGTGTGGGAGTGTCTATTTGGGCATGTGCGAGTTTCAGAGTCAAAATAACACACACACACACACACACACACACACACACACACACACACACAAACACACAGTAGAAAGTGATGGTGTTTAACCTACATGGACATCTGTAGTTGAATTATTTGCCAAATTATTAAATGGTGGACTTTAACTGCAGTTTGGTTCTTTCATTCGGGAATTCATTCATGCCTCTCGCGACAAACGAGATATTTGATTCGAGGAACTGCTCTAAGCGTGTATTTTTCATGCAATGTTTGATACCGCACGGCGAATGAGAGAAAAAAAACTTTGCATATCCCGGAAACTTAGATGCACACAGCAGGTAATGTCAGAAAGCTGTGTGTGTTATTCCAGTCACAAAATGCGGTGAAAACCCTACACGAGGTTAAAGTTTGGTTGTGGTGCTAACATGTTTACATGTGAATAAACAAAGAGCACTGGTCGCTCACTTCCCAAATCTGTAGAGACAGGACAATCACCAGCAACTAGAGCCGCATTTTTATTAAGAGAAGACTACAAGCGAATCCGGATCTCAGCGTTTGCAGATGAGAACAGCTCTCAGGTAAACAATGTTCCTCCTTAGACACGTAAGTTATTGTTGTCGCGCGTCGCGTACACTGTAATCCACGCATGACTCCAGCTGAGCTCTCACAGAGAGAAAATGAAAACGAAACTTAACTGCAGCAAACTATAAAAGCAACACTTAATGCTTGTTTTGCCAATACAACGTGGTGTGTCTGTCATCTAAACACTGTGACAGTAATGAATATTAATGAAGTTGCACAATAGAGCGCGCTGATTGGTTTGAACCAAGCTTTACTCATGCATCATTGCATCACACTGTAAGACGTAATAAGACACACTCTGGCACAGACGCCCAGTCTGCACGCTGGAATACAACGCTATTATGTCATGACCGTGACGCAGCTTTAAAAATTCATTTCAAACCGGAAGAACGAATTTGCTTGAAATAACGCAAAAACAACCAGTTTACACTTTTTAGTGAAATATAGGTGTCCTAATAGTGTTTTTAGCAGTGTGGGACACATATACGACTGTCAACAGCTCAAAAAATGTGTTTTGGTGTTTCGTGACCCTTTAAAGCTCATAATGCTGCAACACCAAATAAATCATTTCAAAATACAAAAAAATATTAATTATAAGGAAAGTTTTAAATTTGAAATTTCTCAGGTAGATCCACTGTTGGACAATGTTGCCATACGGTAATATTCCATAAAGTACCTTAAAAATTAAGCCATTTTTAAGCCATTTTAAGAAAAGAAAAACAGTCAAATATTTTTTTTACAGGTTTATCATAATGCGTGCGGTAGAGGGTTAATGATTATTACACCTGCTCAATGATTCACTACATTAATAAATCTGACATAACTTGATCAGAAATCCATCAATAGAGAGTAATACTGTGGTTAAAAAAAGCATCTTAGCACAATCGTAACAGCGCCATTGTGATACAGTGGTCAGCACGTTGTTTTACAACACCACTGACCCCTGTTCGAACCTTACTTGAGTAATTATTATTATTATTATTATTTTCATTTTTATTGTTAAGACATATAATAATGTTAGGGTTGAGGAATATTTTTTAGTTATAAAGCAGCTGTTTTCTTGAAAAAGATATGATAGTGTCATTAGAAACTGAATTGGAAATAACCATATTTTATAGTCAGTTGTGAACTGAGATGTGCCGGTCTATAAGACTTGAAACTCCAGGGCTGAAAAGGAGTCCCACTATGGCCCTGAATGGACGGTAGAAAAACTGTGTTATTTTCAAGTTTTTCGTTGGAATGAGCTAGTTGAGTGATTTCCGCCCGTTTGATTGACAGAGACAACAAAGCTGAAGAGGGCAGACATCAGCAGCGTGAGTGGCGTTGCTCGTAACACGCATGGCAAGTAAAAATCTTTAATAAGTGTGTGTATTATGTTAAGCACATTTGAGCATAACATATTATTTGCACATTTATTGAATGGAAATGTTTCTGATTCACATATGCAAATCCGTCTTCAGATGGTGCCTTTATAGCAATGTGCGTGCAGTAGATGGCTCCGATTACATTGGGAAAACCGGCAATCGCTGCTTTTGTGCTTTAATGTTTGGCTGGTCTGCTGTATGATATGAAAACCTTATAATACCTGCTAGACATGCAGATGAACCCGTCACATTTGTAGTGTGCAATTTAACATAATTGCCTTAAGGAGTCGCCAATGGAAATAAAACACACACAAGAACTGTATGTACGCCAGGCATGAAGTTAGCGTGGACCAACGCACATTCTCACGTTCATTACATCATCAGTAAATCCAAATGTGAGCATGAATTCTGGCGCATGCAAAGTTTTTGTGCGTACGCACCGTTGATA